CACTGGGGTGCGGACAGCAGCATGGCCTGAAGCCAGAGGCCCTCCCTTGATCACACCAATTGCTGTGTGTCCTTCAGTATAGCTCCTAATTCCTCTGATCTCTGTTTCCTAGATCTGGAGGGGCAGACTGTACAGGATGAGCTATGGAGGCAGAGAGCTCTGGTCACATCCCACCACTCACTCCCTCGGGCAAGTCCCACTTTGAAACTTGCTTCCTCATTATTATTCCTCGACAGGAATCATAAAGGTACTTCCCTTTGCAAGTCATTTTAAGATTCAGTGAGATAATTAAGTGCTTAGCACAGGGCCTGATATAATTTCTCAATTAATTGCTATTAGTGTTAATATTATTCTATAAAACAAAGGGCATATTAGAAGATCAAAAATATTTGCCAAGAATTGAAGTGCTAATGAGAACAATCGTTTTCAGGGCATTCAAAAGCCAATGTGAACTGAACACCTACTATGAGCTCTTTGGGCTTCCCAGGTGGCACAGTGGTAAAGAATCCACCTGCTGGTGCAGGAGACGTAAGAGAAGCAGGTGTGATCCCTGGATTGGGAAGATCCCCTGTAGTAGGAAATAGCAACCTGCTCCAGTGTTCTTGCCTGAAAAATCCTATGAGCAGAGGAGCCGGCTGGGCTATACTCCATGGGATCACAAAGACATGACTGAGTGAACACACACACATGCACGTGCATGCATGCACACACACACGTGCTTTTTGCGGGAAAGAGCCAAGTCCTGTTTTTTCCACTTTGAGAGGTCCTTACCACTTCTGAAAGTGAAAGTTGCTCAGTTGTGTCTGACCCCATGGACTGTAGCCAGCCAGGCTCCTCTGTCCATTGATTACCATCTCTAGCCCACAGCAAATCTCCATCAGGATTCCTCTCGGGCAGTGGTTTTCACTCCCCTTCCCTTCTTAATGGTGGTATCTTTTCCTGTTCCTGAGAAATCTTACAAGGGAACTTGTATCCCTCACATATATCACTCACTCAGGGGACTCTTAAACCCTATGCATCCTGACTGCTAATTTCTTTTCAGACGTGTGTCCTTTTCCCTAGTTAGATCATCAGTACCTTGAAGGCAGGGACAGGTCTTAAACTTCTTGGTGTCCCCATAAATCTAGGTACAGAGCAGGTCCTTACTTATCAGTATTAGGCCCATGAGCCATTGTCCAGCCGGGGACTGTGTGTATGGTTTGCGTCCAGACTGGACAAGAGAGGCCACTGAGGAGATTCTTGGGAATGAAGAGCCCTCTGCCTGACTGCAGAAGGGATGCTATATTCTCTCTGGTCAAGCTGACTATTCAAAATGTTCTTTCTGAAACAGTAGCAGTCAGAAAGACCTGGGGACTCACTTGCCTGAAGCCCTGCCCAAGGCCACAGCTACCCTGGGTAGCCAGCCTGGCCTCCCCACCAGCCCCAGGGCTGTAGCTGAATAGTGCTGGCCTCCTAATAAACACAGCACCAGTGCCAAGTCCTAACTCCACTGGAGAAATAGCCCTGCACCCCTCAATCCCATTAACATTTCACACCTTAATGCGGCCATATTTTTGGAAAGCCGATATGAGCTGAATAGCTTATTGGTATGCAGCTCCGGGTGGGGGTAGGGGCTCCAGGGAGGGGGGGCTCACTGCAAAGGGGATGTAATTAAGCCTCAGAATGTTCGATGTATTCCCCAAAAGGAGGGTATCTGGGGGTGCAAGTGTAAGAGCAATGGGCTTGTCTAGGTGGTTCGTGTGCACAAAAGCTTGACCACTGTTGGGAAGTCCCAGCACGGCTCCCACCCTCACTCAGCCCAAGCCCCCACCCCAGCAGGGCCACCCACTCACCCTTTGGGTCGGTAACTTTACATTTCCCAAGCAGACCCTATCAGCAGCTCTTCTCAGATAAAATACATCATCATTTGCTCCATTAGAAAATAAATGTATGGCTATATTATGGGATTTGCATTCCATTACCTTGGTTTGCATGCCATAAAACATTTATTACACCCTTGGGCTAAAGTCTTAATAATGACTGGGTGCGAGGCACTAATGTGGCGCTGGTCCTGCTCGGGAACCAGAGATTAATGCCTTTTGATGTCACCTAGCTAATAGTCGTGCTCACCAATTTGTCCCATCAGAAGACATTAGAGTCAGACCCTGTGCAGGGATTGTTGGGGACCACTGTTCAGCTTTAACTGGGAGTTGGGGCTCCTTTTTCCTGCCACCTGCAATCTGGTCTTATTCAAAATGACCAGAATAAAATCTCAGAGCCCTCCCTGTACAGTCCCCCCACTTTCCACCCCTATGCCTTGGGCAAGTCCCCAACCCTGGGTTCGATGAAGCTACAATGAGGATTTAAATGTCTGCTTTCCTGCCAGACACAGCAGCGGAAATGGTAGCAGCAGCAAGTGCACAGGCATACACACACACACACATGCACACACACTCACGCTCACACACACACACACACACACACTCACACTCACTCATTCAAACCCATGGATACCTTTCCTTCACCCTAGGGAATGATGGAGTTCACTGTTGAACTCACCCTAGATGGAGTGAATTCAAGGATTCCTATCATTTCCTCTTCCTGCCAGGAGACCACACCATCATCCTTCCTTGATGTAATAACAGCAGTCTTCCCTCTGCCCCAATACTATGTGGCCCACCTCATCATTGAAAAATTCATTGAAACCACCATTCTTCTAGTCACCGCCACTTAGGAGGCCAAAGGCCCCCAGCATCCTATTGGTTAAATCTATGTCCGTCCTAGGCTGGCCCTACCCTACACCCAACCAACCTCAAGTCCCTTAGATCTCTAGTGCGAAGGTCCGGAGAGAGATAAGCCCATGCCCTGGGGGAGATTCTGGTTGTGACAGAGGAAGAAAAACACTCTACAAGGGCGTTATGGGTCTGCAAAAGTCACAGATGAAACACCGGAGGAGCACATTGCTTCTGATTCTGCACTTCTGGGAAGGTTAGTGGATAAGTTGGTGCTTAAGGGCAGAGATGGAGAGGAGGTGATATGAAGGATGGGGTTGCCCAAGAAGGGGAATGGTGGGAGCAAAGGTATGGAGGTGAGAATGCTTGGAGAATGGGAGGGGGTAGAGGAAAGATTACTCTGAAAGGATGGAGTTGGAGCAAGAAGCACTGTCACTGTGGGGCTGGACTCGGAGGGCAGAGCTGAGAGAGAGAAGGGGCTTTGTACTGAGTGCTGGGCAGGTTCCCTGGCTGGACTGGAGTGGCTGAGCTCAGAAGCAGGGAGCCAAGGCAGATGTCTCTGCTGATCCAGAAATGAGGCCATAAAGGCTGGACTGGGGCAGGAGTGGGAAGAAAGGGATGAAGGAAGGAAGCAGTAAAGAGAAATCAAGATGAGGCTGGGAACCACCAGTGGTGGGAGAGTCTGGAGCCGCCGATGCCTCTAAGGTAGTGGTTCTTAGTGGGGCACTGCTGCCCAGGGGCTGGTTTGGGCATTTGTGGGGGTTATTTGTGGTAGTCATGTTGGCATTTAGTGTGTGGGGAGGGAACCAGGAGTGCGTTCTGTATACCATAATGTGCAGGACAGTCTCACACAGTGAAGAATTCTCCCTCATCCCATGGAACTTCAAAAATTCCTTCTGCACAACAAAGGAAACTATAAGCAAGGTGAAAAGACAACCTTCAGGATGGGAAAAAATAATAGCAAATGAAGCAACTGACAGAGAATTAATCTCAAAAATATACAAGCAGCTCATGCAGCTCAATACCAGAAAAGTAAACGACTCAATCAAAAAATGGGCCAAAGAACTAAACAGACATTTCTCCAAAGAAAACATACAGATGGCTAATGAACACATGAAAAGATGCTCAACATCACTCATTATCAGAGAAATGCAAATCAAAACCACAATGAGGTACCATCTCACGCCGATCAGAATGGCTGCTATCAGAAAGTCTACAAACAATAAATGCTGGAGAGGGTGCAGAGAAAAGGGAACCCTCTTTCACTGTTGGTGGGAATGCAAACTAGTGCAGCCTCTATAGAGAACAGTATGGAGATTCCTTAAAAAACTGGAAATAGAACTGCCATATAGCCCACCAATCCCACTGCTGGGCATACATACTGAGGAAGCCAGAATTGAAAGAGACATGTGTACCCCAATGTTCATCGCAGCACAGTTTACAATAGCAAGGACGTGGAAGCAACCTAGAGGTCCATCGGCAGATGAATGGATAAGAAAGCTGTGGTACATATACACAATGGAATATTACTCAGCCTTTAAAAAGAATACATTTGAGTCAGTTCTAATGAGGTGGATGAAACTGGAGCCTATTGTACAGAGTGAAGTAAGTCAGAAAGAAAAACACCAATATAGTATATTAATGCATATATATGGAATTTAGAAAGATGGTAACAATGACCCTATATGTAAGACAGCAAAAGAGACACAGATATAAAGAACAGACTTTCGGACTCGGCGAGCAAAGGCAAGGGTGGGATGATTTGAGAGAATAGTGTTGAAACATGTATATTATCATATGTGAAATAGATCACCAGTCCAGGTTGGATGCATGAGACAGGGTGCTCCGGGCTGGTGCACTGGGATGACCCTGAGGGATGGGATGGGGAGGGATGTGGGAGGGAGGGTCAGGATGGGGGACACATGTACACCCATGGCTGATTCATGTCAATGTATGGCCAAAACCACTACAATATTGTAAAGTAATTAGCCTCCAATTAAATAAATTTAAAAAAGAGAGAATTCATGAGAATTAAACATTATCATTAGAGTGACTAAATATCAGATTTTTCTGTTAAAAAAAAAATTCCAAGCAAGTACCTGTGGACCCTGCAACCCTAGGGGCCACTACAGTAAGTCCCCAGCTCACCAACTTTCAAGTTGTGAACTTTCAAATACGTGAACCTGCGTTCGCATGTCCAATCCCGTAAGTTAGTTCATGTAGTTGGTTCTGGCATACGTGGTCACATGCGCGCCTCCTCTCTAAGTGGCTGTGCTCTTGTGTACTTACCGGTACTGTGGCTGTGCGGCACAAGAAGCTTACTAGTGAAGAGCTGATCTAATTGGAGGCCCTGATAGGGTTAGAGAAAGGACAAAGAGAGACAAGAGGGAGAAGTCCCTGAAGAACCAAAGAGGTTCACAATGCAGGAAATGGCAAGGGGTTTTCTTTACTTGAGGAGGCACGGTTAGTTTTTCAGGCACAGGACCCAGACGTGGAATGGTACATGAAAGTGCAGCAGGCATTCAAAGAATGCAGTCCAGTGCTACTGAGTCATCAATGAGGAGGAAAAAAAAAAAAAGCTACTACCCAGACATCCCTGGATCATTTTTTCAAGAGGGTAGATAGAACTGAATCTAGTAAGGAACCTGTGCCATTAACGTCAGGCATGAGTGAGATTGCAGGTTGCCCTCCGTCTGTGGCTGACGACCCTTCAGCTCTACCATCTCCCACCTTGTTTCCCTCCTCCAGTTGGTAACTCTTCTTGCTTCTTCACTCGATGCTAGCCCCTGTATGCTCGATGCTAGCCCCTGTATGCCAGCTGTTGTACCGTCCTACTATACTTTTCAAGGTACTGTAAGATTAAATATGTTTTTATTTTCTATGCTTTTAAAAAATATTTGTGTGGAAAGTATCATAAACCTATTTCAGTACAGTAATATATAGACAGTTGTATTAGTTAGGGTGCCTAGGCTAATTTTGTTGGACTTAAGAACAAATTAGACTTACAAATGTGCCATTGGAACAGAATTCATTCATACATAGGGGACTGACTGTATTTACTTGTGTGATGAAGTAAATGATTGTGCAGGGCCCAACCTGTACAACCGGCAATTGGTCCTATGTGTGACACTGATCCTGGTGGAAAAATTTGTTTACAATGACATGAGTCTAAATCCAGCTTTGTTTTACATATATACACAGAATATCTTTGCATGGTTTTAATATACTCTAATTTTCTAGGAATGGAACTCCCATGACAACTAAGGGGACAATTGTCTTCTGTTCTGAATCTCTGTACTGAACTTTACCAAGAGTTTGTCACCATTTCAGAAACTGCTGTTCATATGGGCACAGTACTCATGGCCCTTAAGTCACCAGCACACCCCTCTCCATGGCCAGAGGCACTGACAGCCATCCGCTCATGTGGTTTCATGTTTAGGTGTAAGTATTTGACTTCCTTATTGTTGCTGAGCATTTACATATTAAAATATATATTCTTTTATTATAAGTTACTTTGATTTCTCCTTTATATTATAGTTGGGTCAATATATTGATTTTTTGGAAATTATGTGGATAGATTGGTTATATTATCTCTGCTTTCCATCCTGGGATAGTAAATGAGGCGTGACAAACCTGATAATAAAAGGAGGCTGTGGGTCTGATCGGCTGAGAGCTACAGTTGGGAGAATTCCAGCTTTCTCCAAGAAGCCTGTCTGGCCACTTTAATCCCACAGTCCCACTGAAGTCTCCTTTTCTGCCTTCCTAAATGAAGTTCTTTGTTAGATCTATTTTCCACTTCTTTCCATGATTGTCATCTCCTGAACAATCTTGTCAACTGTGTTCCTATAAACACATAACCTCCCTAGAGACAACCTTGAAGGGATCACTCTTTATGACCCTACCCAGGCTCTGAAGAGAGGAGCCTTGCTGACTGAAGTGCACAACTCAGGTAGAGACGAGGCTCCTGTGGGTCAACACAAGAAAGGGGCATCCACTGCAAGTAACGCAAAATCCAGAAAACCCATCACTCAGCGTGAGAGAGACCCTTGACTCTAGAATAGCAATTTCACAAGTCTCGTCAGTGTGAAGACTGATTTGTGTGTGTGCTAAGCTGCTTCAGTCATGTCCGACTCTTTGTGACCCTGTGTGCTGTAGCCCGCCAGATTCCTCCTTTCATGAGATTCTCCAGGTAAGAATACTGAACTGGGTTGCCATTTCCTCCTCCAGGGGATCTTCCTGTCCCAGGGATCAAACCCATGTCTTTTATGTCACCTGCATTGGAAGGCGGGTTCTTTACGACTAACACCACCAAAGGCTGATTAGGGGGAAAAATAGTTAGTGTGAAATCACTGAAAAAACAAACAAGCCACCCCAGTTCTGGGACCATTGGAAAACAATGTATTGGAAGTTCAAAGACTGGACATGTTGAGGACTTGAAAAAAAGATCTGATGTGGTGAGATAGTAACTTCAAAGCGACTTGTGCAGGCAAAGAGGCTTCCTTTGTAGATGGGAAGATTGGTCAAGCACAGAGACAGGGTTTAGATAAGTTAATGGATGACAGGATTGTCAAGGGTGATTAAGTGGAACTTGGCTCCTCTGGAGGTAAGCGGTGTCCTGGCGTCCTCACCCGAGGTGGACAATGAACCTGGGCCCTGGAAGGAAGGAGGCAACGCCAGGGTCTCAGTTATTTCTAGCGGTCCCCTGAAAGGATGCAACAATCTACTTCCATTTTTTAAAGCGAAAAGAATAAAAAGAGAGGTGGTTAGATCACACACAGTCTGAGTCTTTAGAAAGAGGGTTTTTTTTTTTGGTGGGTATTTCAGTTCAGGGGAAGCACGAGACAGAACTCAGTGGGAGTGCAGAGGGTGTCCAGAATTCCCAATGTAGTTGATGTCATCACTGAAGTTCTAGGACCCAGACTGCCTGTGTTCACATCCTGGCTCCATCGTTGAGTAGCTGGGTGACCTTAGGCAAGTTACCTAACTTCCTTGTGCCTCAGTTTTATCCCATCAAATGGACATAATGGTATTGTTACCAAACTCAACCGCTCACCACTTGAAAGCCAACACTCAAGAGACTAGGGTTCATAGGAAAGGAAAGTTTATTCAGGTGGCTGGCAACTTGGGGAGAAGGTAGACTTGTGTCCAAAGGCCAACACCCCTTTACTGATCAGGGGTCAAGAGCTTTTAAAGAAGAGTTTCAGGGGTGCGGCAGAGTGAATCAGTTATACATATATATACATCCTCTCTTTTTTAGATTCTTTTCCCATATAGACCATTAGAGTATTGAGTAGGGTTCCCTGTGCTATATAGTAGGTCCTTATTAGTTAATCTGTCTTATATATGAAAGCGAAAGTGACAGTTGCTCAGTCATGTCTGACTCTTTGTGACCTCATGGATGGATAGTTCATGGAATTCTATAGGCCAGAATACTGAAGTGGGTAGCTGTTCCCTTCTCCAAGGGGTCTTCCCAACCCAGGGAGCGAACCCAGGTCTCCCAGCTCTCTCTCTTATAGATAGTGTGTATACATCAATCTCAATCTTCCAGTTTGTCCTTCCCTCCACCCTTGGCCTCTAGTAGCCATAAGTTTGCTTCCGACATCTGTGACTATTTCTGCTTTGTAGGTAAGTTCATTTGTATCCGTTTTTTAAGATTCCGCATACAAACTGTTTGTCTTTCTCAAACTTCAAACATTGTAAATCAACTATACTTCATTAAAAGATTTTTAAAAATCAATCAATGTAATTAGCCATATTGGCAAACTAAAAAATAAAAACAAACCATGGTGTAAAAAGAAAAAAAGAGGAGCTTAAGGGTGTGGAATGACACAGTTCTGATAATCATCTTGAAATCGGTCTTGCAGTAGATCTGCATTATCTTGCTTGTTTTAGGTACAGTTAATCTTCAGTTCCAGGGTCAGTTTGTTTCCATTTCCTTGGGGCCCGTTCTTGGAATTGTGTACCATGGAGCAGCCTATGTCACAGCTGCAGCCCAGTCACCATGTAGCTAACTTCTTCCACCTGGCGGGAGTTTCCGTATCTGCAAAACAGCTTAAAGGAAAGGGCTCAGAATATTATCTACAGCCCTTGAGGGGAAATGAGAAGTCCTTGACTTTGTTTAGTGGTTAACTATTATTATTTTGTCTTGTTTGACTGTTTTCCTTTCTTTCTGCATTTTCTCACTTCTCTGATTAAATTTATTCTTTGGCTGAAGTTTCTCAACAGACAGGAGGCATGGCGGGGGTGGGGGGATGGGGGTGGAGCGGGAATCTGTCCTGGGAAGGCCTGTTAAGGTCCTGTTCCATTACAGGATTACTTTACTGAGTTGTGAAGATATAAGTAGATAACATGATATATGAAAATGTTTAGAACAGCACATGGTATATGTAGTGTTTGATACACATGTGTGATAGTTGTTCTTATTACTCCTGAGAACAGGGTCAAGCCTCTTCAGCCCCACCTCCCTCCCTACGATGAACCAATGAAGTATGGCTCTGGGGAGCCAAGGGAGGAGCTGGAAACCAGAGAAGCCAAGGCATGGAGGTCGCGCCTTGGCCCTGGTTCTCTAAGCACTGTCTAGAGTAGCAAAGGCGCTAGAAGTGGAGGTTAGCCCCTTGGCCTCAAAGATTCAGCTCAGTAGGGGGCAAAGAGTGACTGTGTGCCCCCAAGACATTGGACTGGAGAATGTGGCACTCAGGAGGGGGACTCTCTCTGGTTTCATCTCTTATGTATGAGCCATTGCTTAGAAGCAATCCTATTGAGAGGGTTGCTGAATCCTAGATTCAGGGGAGAAAGTGCCAGGATGGCTGGAGGGGATGAAACCCAGGCAGCTCGTAAAAGCCTGGGTCCCTGGATGCGGCAGGGTGGGGAAAGGCAAGCATCCTGACTTCTCGTTCCTCCTCTGCCAGGCTCAGTGGCCCCAAGCGTGTTATCCCACTTACCCTCTCTGCCTCTTTCTCCCTGTATAAATGCCGTAGAGGGCATTGTTTCCCAAGGGCGCTAGGGAACTGTAGGACTTTAGACCTGTAAGGGGTCCTAGAGGGTACAGCAGACACTGCCAGTGCCCACCCCATCCCCTCGTCTTTACCATGTGGGTGCTCTGAGCCTGACTTCTGGCTCCAGCATCTGCAGTTCTTTGCCCGAGAGTTTTCTCCAGCCACTGATGCCCCTTTGTGTGCAGCAGCTCAGAAGCAGCCCTCCACCAGAGACCAACAGGATCATTGTATAAATATCCTAGCTCCTCCAGCCCATGGATGGGAACGGCTCTGAGATGTAGTCCTTGGTTGTCCCCCAGAATGTCCCCAGTGGGAGTGAGCTCCAGGTACCCATCCCTTTCCTGATTCACTTTCC